CACACACACACACACACACACGCACACACACACACACACACACACACACACACACACACATGCTCGTAGTTCGAAGCGAGCAAAGAAATGAAAGGAACAGGCATCAATAAAAAAAGTAGAGTTAACTCACCATCAGTCATCATAGAAAGTCTTGGCATCCAACCTTCAGGATGCAGAGCCCAACCTCCAGCACGTAGACAACTCCATAAAAAAGAATATGACTAAGCCAGACTGTTTCGTCAGACTTCCACCGACCCATCAGGAAGTTAGACAACTCCATAAAAAATAGCATCACTAAGCCAGACTGTTTCGTCGGACTTCCACCGACTCATCAGGAGGTTGAACCCCGACAGTCCGCCGGGATGCATTTGGCTGATGGATAAGGACTCACCATGCCGTGTGTGTTTGTCGGGTCTCATGTGTGTGTATCCACATGCGAAGTTGAAGTCGAGCGTGGTAACATAGAGTAGAGTAGTACAGTCCAAGTCGAGTGTAGTAACGTAGGATGGAAAAGTGGAAGTCTGTAGTGCCAAGTAGAGTAGCATAGGGATCGGTCTTTATCATGCCGTAGGTTTTTCCCGCGTCGCCACCAAAAAAGTACGTGCCACACCCAAAAAACAGTACACGCGCCGCCACCGAAAAGAAGTTACTTACATAACCCCACCCCCATGCACCGTTCAGATATTGGCCTGGCCTGGGGATTGCCGCGGGCGGGACTCCCCTGTCAGCTAAAAATTGGCCTGGGGAGTGCTGCGCACGGCACTAGCGGGTCAGGGCCTACCAGCCCAGCGATCATCTTTAAAACGATCAATATGCAATCTGGACCATGTGGTACAACGCCGACGACGGTCCAGATTGCGAGTTGATGACATCGAAAATGATCACCATCCAATCTGGACCGCCGTGCATCAAGGAAACTGAGGGCCCAGATCGGCTTCTCGTCACAGGCCACCAAATAGCGATCGATATATGTAATGACATGCGACATGCGGCGCATCACGTGCGCGCAAGTTGCCCATGTGCGCCGCATAGGGCACGTGTGATGCAGTGCAATTACGAATAAAAAAAATAGGAAAAAAAAAACAAAAAGGGCAGGCTGTGGTAACCAAATGTGTGCCTCCCTTTTGAAAATTGTAATGGCACAGGAAAAAAATAATCTGGGGCCGCATTGTACTCCTCATTGGATTGAGTCTCTTTTCCAAAGAGTCCCCTGCAAAGAATTTGTGGGTATCCCGTTCATTTGGAAGAACGTGCATTGAACTGCTGGAAGAACACGAGTAGGTCAGCAATACATTCTGGATTCAGATTCAGGTCCCTGTTCCAAGAGTTATGGGTTGCGGACTTACTCCAAACACTACAGTAGTTGTCTCGTTTTTTTGTTTTTGCTTTTCTTACGTGGAGTGACCCTAAGGGCCTGGCTCCACTCATCAGCACTTGCACAAAAGAAAAACATATGACTTGCATGGTTCCAGTTTCTAGGAGAAGATTCATTCTAGTTTTGCACATTTGGTGAGTAGTGGAGTGAAGCCCTGAAAATCACATGCTGAGTTAGCAAGTCAGTAACCCATAACTGCTTAAACACGGACCTGAATTCGAAGCTACATCATATATACCTGGCCTGCTCCCTCCTTACTACAAGCCCAGCCACTATTCTTCTCCTGCTGACAAGGTCCTTGCTAACTTCTGGCAGGGACATTTTGAAGTGCGGGCAGGGGTTTTCTGAAAAATGTGAAAGGGCTCTTTGCTCTCTCTCTCTCTCTCTCTCTCTCTCTCTCTCTCTCTCTCTCTCTCTCTCTCTCTCTCTCTCTCGCTCTCATGCATGCGCGCGCGCTGCAGCGCACCTCAGGTATGCGCCGCAATTCTGGTTTACATTGATTCGACAAAAATATTTGTTTTAATTTTTTACAAGACAAATTGATTGCTGACGTACTTGTGGAACGCCGCAATAGCGACCAGATTCATGCGCATGACCGGAGTCATACTTTTTACCAGATTTATACTTGTGCTTCCAGGGACATTGCATCAGCATCGCGTGCACATGATCCGGCCACGTTGGCATACAATCTGCTTTAGGCCTGCTTCACAATAGATAAGGCCCTCCTTTTCCTACCGTTTCGCCCTGAAGGGAACGCACAGTCATTATCCACGTATCTAGACTGAAAATTGCCCCAAGTACAGCTATATTGACCGTGCATTTCATTCGAGGGACTGCTTCACAAATACATAAGGCACTCCTTATCCTACCGACTTGCCGTGAAGGGAACGCACAGTCATTATCCACGTATCTAGACTGAAAGTTGCCCGAAGTACAGCTATATTGACCATGCGTTCCATTCCGGGGCCTGCTTCACAAATACATAAGGCACTCCTTATCCTTCCCTCTTCCCCCAGATACAAAACACAGTCATTATCGGCGTATCTGGACTACAAGTTGCCCCAATACACAGCTATACACGTGTGGAAGATGGAAGTCAGACCCTTTTTTTTTGAAGTTTCTTATTCCCCGCATAAGCCAATCATTGACCATCACATCTGCCTGCACACCGCCATTAGCAGTTTAGGGCATACTGATGACACTAGGACTTCCCTAGATGAATCTGACGGCAATTGCAGTAGCATATGGGTGTATCTGACGTCTACTACGTGCAGAGCCGTGTCTAAAGCTCCTCGTGTGAGTATGCCCTTAGTGTTTACCGGAATCTGCACCGTTTCCACCATTATCTCGGGGGTTAATTCACTGCCCTCATCCTCACCATTCGCAGCAGCAGCATGGTCATCATCATCATCACCGCTCCCCTCAACTGAGTACTCAACCTAAGAGTCAACTACCCTCCTCCCCCGAGTAGAACGGACGGTCCTTATCGCTGTATCTACACTGAAAGTTGGCCCAAAAATACAGCCATAATGACCATGCATTCTTTCCTATTTCGTTCTATTTGCCAGATCTCCTTGTACTGAACGACGGGCGAAGTACCAAAGAAGCCTTTCGTATGCATTCTTTCCTATTTCATTCTATTTGCCAGATCTCCTTGTGCTGAACGACGGGCGAAGTACCAAAGAAGCCTTTCGTTCCAAGGGGTTCACCCCCGAAGAGAAGGCATGGTCCTTATTGCTGTCTCGAGACTAAAAGTTGCCCTAAATACAGCTACAATGACTGTCCTTTTTCTCTTCTCTTCGGCGAAAGACGGTAGTCCACCCAATCTCCTTCTAAGAGGACGACTGGCAAGGCCTTTTGTTCAGTACGGTTTGCCCACTTCCTTTTTTCTCCCCAGAAAGCCTTTGTTTTTCTCCTTCCCTTTTTTTTGGCCTGCTGCCACTTTCCAGGAAGACTTTTTATATTCTGTATAACTGAGAGAAACACAGAGCTCCTTATTATGATACCAAGTGGACGCCCGCTGCGTACGCATCGGGAACCATGAGACAAAAAAAAAAAAAAAAAAAGACTTTCCTTGGTGCGGGCAGGCAGCACCACGCACGTATGGCCTAGCATGTGGGTCCTCCTTCCATCGGGCAGGGCTGCTACGCTCATGCCATCAGAGAAGAGCTCCTATGCAGGGCATCATTCTCATTTGCGAAATTGGTAAGTAGTGGAGCGAGGCCCTCAGTTTGTCCTTTTCAGGGAGATCGTTCGAATTCAAGTACATAGCAGTCCGGCCTTGTTCCCCACGCTATGGGCCTCACTCGTGCAAATGAGAATGAATCTTCTGCTAGAACATGGGAAGAGACACCGCCACTACTCCCTGAGGCCACCCCGCCATGTGATCGGTGCGAGGACCATAGAACGAAACGCCAGAAACGATGCGCAGCCAGGAAAAAAAAAGAAACGACACGACACGTGGCCACCCCCAGGAAAAAAAAAGAAGAGAAAAGACTTGTCAACGACACGTGCTGCTGACAGACCGAGCTGCTATCAGAACAACCACAAAAAAAAAAAAAAAGAATGAAACGACACCGAAACAGTCCAAAGAAAAAAGGAGGAATGAAACGACCCCACCGCGCACTCCTATGTACTTGTATTCGAACATTTGGTAACTTTGGGCACGTGCACCAGATCCTTCAAAAAAAAAAAACACGCGCCGCGGGCCAAGCTGAATGAAACTGCAGCCCTCCAGCAGTGCCGCCCCTCGATGGTTTCTCTTGGGGCCGGGGGGGGGGGGGCCTGACATGGGCCCACTATTCTCTTTAGGAGTATAGAGATAGACATAATGATGAATTGCTCGTCGTTCCACATTCACCTCACAAAGGTCACCAGGCGACCAATCTCTCTCTAATCCGGCGACAAAACGTCCTCTCTCCACAATGAAATCCGAGTCTCGCGTCATGTTCGGCAAAACCAAACTGAACTCCTGCACCAGACCCAAAAAAAAAAGAAAAGACAAGGTTGCAATGATGTCAGACCCTGCAAGCTGAAGCGAAAAGACCCCCCCCCCCCCCCCATCAACCCCAAGCACTGATGCAAAAAACAGAGAGAAGAAAAAGAGCTCCCCGTCAACACTCTACCAGGCCAGCTTGTAATGACATGTGACCGCTGACAAATACTGAATGACAAATTTTATGTTTCCATCTGGCCAGCTCAAGGTGAGTCCTTTCCACGGAAATAATTGATCTGATTCGATCATAAATTCATACAATTATCAATTTTCTTTTTTCTTTTTTTTTTTTTTTGAAAAAAAAGAACCATTTGGTTCTGGCTCCTACCATTCTGGGGAGCGACAGTCCGGTTCCTATTCCCCCGGCAAGTCAAATGTGGAGAACATGGATGACTCACGCACGCTCCTCCCCATTATGGMTGGGAGGTCCGAGTGGACGGCATTGATTACTTCCCTGAGGAAGGATGTACCACCCCTCACCTCTGCCTATTTTAGCCTGTGCTATTTGATCTGTCAGACTGTTGCCTGTCTGTCTAGACCCAGTCCTGCTCCTCTCAGCTGTGATGCTGTCGGGTTGTTGTGTTATGCCAGAGCGGTCTGGAATGTCTGCGAACCTCTTGAAATCTCTGATGTCCTAGGCCCTACAAGCCTTATTCCTTTCTAACCTTTAAAACTACAACCCTCATGCTAAGACCCTGAACCCTTGTTGTCTGTAGTGCAGTTTTATGGTCTGTCCCTGCCTGGATTTTCTGTGTTTAAGCTGGCTGTTTATGCCTATGGTTTCTTGGTGGGGTGGTTGGGGTGGGGGGGGCGGTGACTGGGGGGGTCTGTACAGAGGTGAAGGTTTTGGGATTCTGGGTCGATGGGCTTGGGGTATTATCAAATTTCATAATTCCATTCCACTGAAATGCTCCTTGCATTTAAAATTGAAATTGACAAATTCAAATCAACGAACTCAAATCCTTATTAAACCACGAGTACCCCCCAACTTACCCTTTCAAGCCTCATTTTCCCAACACACTGGATTTTCCCAACATAACTTCGGTGAATTAGTTTGGGAAGAAAGACCGAGGAGGAATCGACAAAAGCTGAGCAGGGAGGTGGTCAAATCTCTGCACGCATGCATGCGTGCACCAGGGTGGGAGAGAGAGAGAGAGAGAGAGAGAGAGAGAGAGAGAGAGAGAGAGAGAGAGAGAGAGAGAGAGAGAGAGAGAGAGAGAGAACTGCGTGAACAATGCTATGATTGGTGTTCAGTTCTATCATTTTGACAACTGTAGCGGAACGATAGCCCAAGGATTGCTAGCTGATATACACGTTTTGACTGTACCTGTCTTCCTTTTTTGTGTTTTTTTTGTACTCGTTTCGCCTTATAGCTTTTCCTTCGGACCTCGATCCACTATGCAAACACTCGACATGCGTCTGGACCTGGTAATGGTCCAGATACATTCCACATGTTTGAACATATCGGGCGCAGCATGCTGCCCGTGTACATGTAGATTGTTGTATGGTGGAGTGAGGCTCTTTGCCTTCTTCACACCATCATGACTGAATAGTGGGCCCATTTGTATGGTGGAGTGAGGCTCTTTGCCTTCTTCACACCACGGTCAGTATAGCTGTATTTGGGGTATCTTTCAGTCTAAATAAAGCGATAATGACTGTACGTTATATTCGGGGGAAGAAGGTAGGTTCTGGAGTATAAGAGTAGAGTTGAGATGTTGGAGTTGAGAACCTACTTTGTCAAGGAGGGGGGACGAGTCGTCCACAAACTTGAGCGTCAACTTGCATGCCGTCTCGCCACTTCCCCTAAGGATGGTGTACTGCAAGTTTAAAATGCGGCACATTTCAGCAGGCCGCAATTTCTGTTTGAATGTCACCCATGGGCCGTTCCCAAGAGAATCATTCCCTTGCTTCTGAAGCATCTCTGCATGACCCTGAAATAGGTCCAAGGCAGGAGACAAACCGATCAGCAACTACCAGAAGAAAACAAGAATCACCAGTTACCATTGATAACAATAAATAAAGATTTCATTTCATATCCATAACAATCGATGGACACCGAGTAGTGCTTCACAGTGCATGTTGCAGAATGGTGCACGCCAACAGTGAACGAACAGACGTGTGTTCAAATCCTGATGGGACCGATCATCAGATGGAAGGCAAAAAGAAAAAAAGATGGATCAATCACTTGCAATCAGACTCGCTATCTTTCTCACTCCGCATGCATGCAAACAGATGATGAGTATTCTGGCGCCGGGCGCCCACACAGAGCTCAGAGAAATACAAGTCGAGAACACAGGTTTGATACAAACTCGCTTCAGATTATCTATGGCAACCAAGCGCCCAACTCTCTCTTACAGCCAACCAGTACTCCCACTGCTTACACAAGCACGCTCACACCTCACAGGCGATCTCGCTGGATATTCCACACACACGCACTCTATCACTGTACATGAACACACACACATACACTAGACACTTCACTTTCTATCGCAGCTATGGCTGCCGCCTACGCAGCACTACAAGCGGCTATGTCCACTCTATCTTGCCAACTGCCCACTTCAACTTCGGGCTTCCTGCAGACCACCTAGCACAAGGCGCACTGGCCACGCTTCCACAAGGATCACCACAGAATGAATGAATTGCTGGATGCTGCCTCTTGATTTATACTTATGTTGGCCGCTGGTCTGCCTCTTTCCACCAGGCCCTTGGTGCACACAGTTCCACACGGTACTTGCTTGACTGAACTGAGTGTGGCTGGGACCGGTACCGCTGACTGCACGGGGTTGCACATCCGACTCGACGCAGTTGGACTTACTACTTGCCTACAGACCTCTAGCTTAGCAGTTTCCACCTCTACACAGCGGTAACCCCTACTTGACAGATCTACAGATCGAATCCCTACAGCTACAGGGACCTACGACAAAGAACAGTCACTACTAAAACACAGGTCGCGGGCTCAAACACACGGGTCTACTCGATACAATACATGGATGCAGGTAAGGTCTAGGGATCGAACCCTGGGTTCTGCATCTGCTTCTGCAAAGGTGAAAACCGTTTCACACTGAATGAAAGATATAATAACATTGTATGTACATGTCGTTCCAAAAATTTTAAATCAATATCATAAATGAATAATGCATCCAGAAATCGATTCAATTGCCCTTGAAATTAATTCAAACTTTGAGCTTTGAACATCTGTGGTCTTGTGATGCTCCAGGGCTCGGCTGCGCCCAGCAGGCGCCTCCTGCACCGATTTGCCCCACAGCCATAAAGGAAAGCCCGGCGTAAATAAGTAACTGCCTGGCATAAAAACTGCTATGGCATTTGGAAGCTGTTTCGGAGCCAGGTTCTATATGCCCAAGTGACAGGTGGAAGCTGTTCCGGAGCCTTGTGTGCTGCAAAGAGGCAGCCCAAGCGACCGTGCTTGATGACACAACCACTTGACCAAAGCATTGCTACTACTACTACTACTACTGCTACTACTACTACTACCACTACCACTACCACTACTACTACTACTACGTGCCTGGGGCCTGGCGACTGTGTTTCCAGTAGCTTTTGGTCAGGCACCAGTACCTGCGCCCTTTTGGTCAGGCCCCAGTACCTGCGCCCAGGCCTAATGCAGACAGTGGCCTGGGCCCACAACAGTTAAGCAGCCAAACTGTGCGATGGCCAGTGTTGCTCACTGCAATGCCATTGCAGTGAGCGCCGAAAGGCCTCTGGCTATGTCGCTGCCTGTGTGATCCCAGAGGCTCCGAATGTCGTGATCCCACAGACGTAGGCCTTGTAACCAAGTGGCACGTGGCAACTGTCCGGCACCCCCATGTGCAGAAATGACAAAAGTAGGGCCACATGTTGTAATGCGGGCCACCTTCACTTAGGGAGGGCACGAGGCTTGCTGGGGGCCCTTTTGTCTGTCGGGTGACGAGGCCTGTAAGGCCATGCGAGGGCTCAATCCTCACATTTAGAGGCTTGTTGGGGGCCCCTTTGTCTGTCGGGTGACGAGGCCTGTAAGGCATGTGAGGGCTCAATCCTCACATTTAGGTTAACAATCGCTTTTTAAATATTCATTACTTCCTTTTATAACTGCAGTTGCTGGTATTCTTCGCATTCATTGCTACTTATGCAACAACATGTGAATTATGGAAACTTTTCCATTGTTCTAACGTACTAAACTATTCTGCCTTCAACCGATTGACATTTCCCTCCCCCCGCTAGTGGAGGTTCTTTATTCAGGACTACAGTACCCCATTGAAAACAGCCACAGAGATATCAAAAAATGGTGAATTCACCCAAGAGCTACAAATTGAAATAACCAAAAAAAAAAGAGACATCAACAAAATCATGTCAAAATGCCAATACCAAGCGGCAGCTCTGAAACAAGAAATATGTATGGCATTTTTAGATTGCAAATAATTATTACTAATACTGACAAACAAAAGACCTAGAGACTTGCTGCCACTTAGTGCCATAGGATAAGTTAAATATCTTGTTCATCCCTCTATTAAAGAGGAAATGTGGGGGTTGTCGAGCCACATTTCTTCATTAGTACAGGGATGAGCAATGCATGCTTGTTAGCTTTCACTTATGCTATGATGCTTCTCACCTCATGTTCACGAACCCGTTCAGCTGCGTCTCGTAGACACGGTTGGGGGTTGAGACCAAGAGTTGGTCTTCCCCGGTAACCCTCTCTCATGACTGGTGGTGGTCCACATCTGTGGATGTCTCCAAGGGGAGACTATGAAATAGGTTTCAAACAGCTTCTTTTATTCCTTTCCTCTTTTAAACGGGGGTTGGGCCCCAACATCATCTGATTCCAAAAGGATTCAAGCTCATCACCTGTTTGCTAACAGTTGCATGTGGGTACCATTCAGCCACATGGGTTGGGAAAAATTATAAAACCTCAAAAGAGTGAGATCTGGAGACTGGTGCGTAGAGACAAGGGACAGAACCACCAACAATTGATGCTTGAAAAACATCTCCAAGGCTGCAGGTTCAGGCACAATTCGAGGTGTAGGCCTGCCCAAACTCTTTTCCGCCGACCGGCTGTGTTAAAAGAATCCAAGACCAAACATAGGATATAGGTTAGGTGGCAGGGTGACCTGTCCATCTGATTGCATATGGGTTGGAACTTGGTCTGTCCTTCAGGAGTTCATGGGTGTACCAACCAAGCTGCACCTGCCGGTGCCACGGTGAGGTGTCATCCGCACCACTACCTGGCTAGTTCTTCCCATTCCGAAAGTCTGCGCCATTGCCACCTGGCTGCCACGGTGAGGTATCATCCGCACCACTACCTGGCTAGTTCTTCCCATTCCGAAAGTCTGCGCCATTGCTACCTGCAGGAGTTCTTCGGCTAAGCAGGTCGAGCCGTCGACTGGTTTTGAGTCATAGGTATCTTCTGTCACTTCTACTGAGGATAGACGAGGGAGGGGAGGGCTCAACATAACCAAGCGGGGGTCTGTGACAAGCTCTTACCTGACAAAAATACACCACTTCGTCTCCAAACTGCGGGTAGTACCTTGTACCAGGCTCAATTTCGGTCAGGCTTAACCATGCGAAGCTCTTTGCAGATCTTCTGTAGTTTTCGGATGGTTTCTCTTGCCTCCTTTCACGCAAAGCGCTCAGCATTGACAGCTGTTGCCTAGTCTGTAGTTTCCGAGTCTCAATCATGTCCAAGCTCTTCAACCTCACCCTCAGTTGCTTTGGCCCCTGGTTTATATGATCACTTCCCTGGGCTTGTCCGCTCTTCCGCCTCGGCAAGATTCGTTTCGCTTTCGCTGGATGCAGCATTCGTTTGCGACGCTCCAAGATGGAGGCTTCACTCTCTTCTTCTTCCTCTTCATCCTCTTCCTGGTCCTCTTCTTCGTCCCCCACCTCATCCTCTTCTTCATCTGCCTCCTCCTCCTCTTCATCTTCCTCCTCTTCCTCCCCTGTCTCCTGCATCTCGTCCAACTCGTCCATCTCGTCCACCTCCTCCTCCTCTTCATCATCCTCATCCTCCTCCTCGGAGGCATGTCCTTTCCTCTTCCCCTTTTGCCCTTGCCTCAGAAGAGTTTTCCTTCTCACACCCTGCCTGGACCACCTGTTTGCTCGCGTTGAGGGCCTCACAGCCCGCCCTTCTTCATCTGAGTCTCCATCAACTCTGTAATTGGCAGCTGCCGCCTTGCCCTGACGCACGCGCAGCCGTCCAGCTGCTTCCAACTTGCGGCCCCCAGTCTCCTCATCGCAATCTATATCCTTACCTCCCACATGCACAGTTTTCCGCAGCTGTGTCTTCTCTGCCGAGTCCTTCCTTTTTCTCTCCTCGTTATCTTTCACGTTGGACCTTCGCCCTCGGACACCATGCTGCTCGGATGGCGACTTGTCAAAGCCCCTAGTTTGCACACCATTCCCCAGAATGTTCGCAGGTTCTCGCCCCCCTGCATCCCGGTCAAGCACAGAGCAGCCTCCTCGCTCACCCACCCCATGCGCAAATGCATTGCTGCCAAGCTGCGTCTCTTCCCCCCGCCTTCTCGGCCTCAGCTCTCTCCTATTCGTTCCTCCTCCCTCAAGGTTCCGTGCATCGTTAACCTCGGCAGAAGCCTCATACTGCAACCCGCTACCGACAGCCCCCATGTCCTTCTTCAGCCGCTCCGTCAAAACTGCTTCAGCAGATAGGCTTCCTTGTTTGGCACCTCGGCTCCGTGTTGGAGAGGCCCCGAAATATTGCTCATCCTTGCCAAGCTTTCTTCTGGAAGAACCGGTTTTTGCTTCCCTATTGCTTTCTTCAACATCCATTCCATTCATGTTACCAGCCCTTTGAGGTCTTGGGGACATCCTGGAGGCAATGCCATGGCGGTCAGGACTCCTCGGATCCGTGAAGTCTTGATCTTCCTCGTCCTCCGTGTGTCGGGTCTTCCCTCTCCTCTGTCTGGTTGGTGACAGGTTGGTTCCCTCTCTTGCAGTTGCGTCAGGAGCTCCTAGCAGGCTGCAATCACTGCTCATCTTCCTGGTTCTGCACTTCCTCAGCCCTCGTACATGACTGTGCTGACCAGAACTGTTCTCCCACCCCTTTCTCGCATTACTACCACTACTCGATTCAGCACCATCCTTCTCCATGATGCTCCTCATCTCTCTCAACTTCCATCCACCTCGACCCCCGCCTTCCTTATGCCTGCCGATTGCTCTACAACCAACATTCCGCACCCTTTCCCCTATGCCAAACTGATACTCCTCCTCCTCCTCCTCCTCTTCCTCCTTCTCCAGATATTCCTCATCTTCCTCATCACTGTCTGCCTGATCTTCCTCATCTTCCTCGTCACTTTCTGCCTGATCTTCCTCATCCTCGTCAACTTCCTCATTTGCATCATCTTCACCGTTTCTGATGCCATTGTCATTCTCATCCTCGTTCTCTTCCCCCTCCTCCTCCCTCCCCTCCTCCATGTCATCATCCCTATCATCCTCTTCATAATCATCACTGTCACCCAAATGCAGCCCATTCTTTCCTTCTTCCACTCTTGGCTCGCTCCCTTTGTGAGCATCTCTCCGCCCCTGTACCCTCATGTAGTCCATGTGAGAGCAGCCATCCACTTCCTTCACCTGCTTATCCTTCCGAGCTTCCCAATGACCTTTGTGTTCACCCAATTGCCCCGAAGATTCACTATACCCCTTTCGATGAGATGGGCAGGGGCTCCTGTCCCAACAGTTGCCCGCACCCAAGCCCTCATTTCCCTCCTCATCGTACTTGCCTTCTTCGGGAATGTTCCGGCCCTGCTTCACATGGCCTCGCAAGTTGCTCAAATTCAGAATGTTCCGATCCTGCTCACGATCATTACAGAACCCTCTTAGCTTCCCGCTGTCCTCCAGGGAGCTGTGCCCCTCGCTTCTCTCGTTTCTGATGCTTGCTTGCTCCCCAGTCCAATCCTCATCGCTCTCCACCTCCCTTAGAATTTCTCTTTCCTCCTCAGAGATATCTCCTCTGTCCTCAACGTCCTCTGCAACATCCTCGTTCCCCTCTTCATAAATGCCTCCACTCGCCTCATGACTTAGTTCATCCATGCCGCATCTATATGCGCCAAGGTAGATAGGTCCGTTCTCATGGAGTGGTGCATCCTCATCCCCTCCCTGCTCTTCATTGTATCGATCTTCCAACCCTGCATTCTCCACACCGTCGCTGCGCTCTCTGCGCTGTACAATGCTCACCCCATTATACCAGTCTCTTTTTAAAGCCGGCGAACTCCCATACCATCGCGCACCCTTTGCCTCCCCAGCAGTCTGTAAGAGCTGTTCTCCTCGGTTGTCTGGCCCTATCCTTTCACTGTGTCTTCCATCAAGTTCTTCACCCGCTTCATCTTTTTCTTCAGCAGACTCCTGACTTATGCCCCCATTCTGACGGTGCAGAGGAAACCTCTCGTCATCAGGCGTTGAACCACACTCATGTTTGACATATTTTTTGCCTTCACCCTTCCTCTCTGTCTCATCTCCTTCATTGAGCTCTCTGCCGCTTGGCTGGACACCGTTAGCACGGCTAACGACTCTCTTGCTTGCAAGAAACTCCGAGCCCTGTACTTCATCAGATGGACGTGCAGAGGCACGGTTCCCACAGCCAACTCTATGACCCTGCACAGGGACCATCAGGTTGTCAGTGTGCGCATTCTCGATCTCTGGCAACCTGGCTTCATCTTTCACATCCAAGGAGTCTAAGTGAGTGCTACCCCTACCAGCTGCTGGCTCGTGTCCTCCACCATTGGCACTGCCATTAACTCGCTCAGGGATATCGGCAGAAGCTGTTGCGCCTGAAATCTCACCTTGAATCTCTTGACGTTGTGGCGGTGATTCCTCCTCACAGCTTTCGCCCATATCGTCGTTAGAGTCACAGACACGAAGCCTCCTTTTCTTATTCCTTACATTGCCCTTCTCTTCCAACTTTCCATACCTTCCTTCGCCACTTGTGTCACTGAGAACCGGTATCCCAACCTTATCTCTTTTTGCCGAGTGTCGTCGGGATGCTCCATGCCCTTCACGGCTAAACTGTTCGTCCCCGTTGCCCACCAAATCTGCATCCTGGTCCTCCCCAGAAGAGGAGTCCAAGGGGATCTTGCTCCTAACCTCCCCAATGTCATCATCGTCATCCAGATAGCAATCAACCTTTGATGTCTCCTTCGCTGCACAAGTCCGTGAAAACCTCAGCTTGAACATCGCCCTCTTCCTTTTGGAGCCCAACCGCTTTGAGCCCCTTGCCTTCTGTGATCCCATTTCCATACTTGAGCCAGATTCCTTCCCTGCACTTTTGCCTCCCTCTCCTTCCTCTTCTTCTTTGTTGCTTACTGCATCCGCACGTGCTCCTGCAGCCTCCTCTTCATCATGATCAGCGTCACCCCCCTCCTCTTCCTCCTCCTCCTTCGCTTTCAACATCTTCTGTTTTGCCTTTTCCCTCGCTTCCCTATGTGGCCTTCCTGGCTGCTGCTGCACAGCCACCGCCTTCAGCCCTCCCTTTCTTTTCAGCCTTCTGGCAACTTCATGCCCTTCATCATCACTGCCGGCATCTAGCCTTTTCCGTTTCACCATTCTACCCCGAGAAGAGATCACAGGTTCTTCTTGTCGACGCTGGCTTTTCCTTTGGCGGCGCTTTGACCTCCGACGCCCTCCGCCATCCTGGTCACTATCATTACCATTCGGTTCATGTATATCAACTTCAGCTTCAACCTCCTCCGCATCCTCGTCCTCATCTTGATCGTTCGCCTCCTCCATATCCTCCACTTCCTCATCATCCGTCACCCCTAGGTCTACCCACTGTGCCGCTTCTTCTTCATCATCTTCCGCCGACTCTTCACTGACATTGTAATCTGACTCCAGGTCATCGCGATCACTTTCTTCCCCCTGTTCCCATTCCCAGTCTGCCTCCGGCTGTTCCAGCCATCGCCCCCCCGCTCGAGCTCCTCGTTCACTCGCAACTCCTGGCCACACAATCGTCTGCCGCGGATCTGCTGGGGCTGGGGCGGGCAGCTGGACAACTTGAGCCTGTTTCGCAGCTTCCACGGCAGTGAGGTGAGGGATTATTACAGAGGGGTCGGCATCCTCTGGAAGACCGGTCGAGAGCTGAAAACGGTGCTCTGGCAAGGCTTGCCCTAGGAGACGGCGTTGCTGGTAGAATGTTTGGTACGGCTCCTCGTACGGCAACATCACTGCATACATACCCAGCATTACCAAAGTCGGGGCAGTCGACCAAAATTTCAGAAAAAAGAGCATCAGAAGCAATTTCCTGGCTGTGATGCCAGCAATGGTCTCACCAACTTGGGTTCAATCACATAATGTTCGCAGAGTTCTTCCAAAGGACAGCCACCAAACAGCTAGACCAAGTCCTTCCAAATGACGGGCACCAAACTTGCGCAGCACGAAACAACCCAAAACAATACCAAACAGCTCGAGCAAGTCCTTCCAAATGGAAGCAATCAATGCTGTCAGTGAGTCCCTCGGCCGTGCACAGAGAGGAAGCATTTGAGCGCTTAAAATTGCCGTAAAATTCGGCGTAAATATTAAATAGCAAAATAATAAATAGGGATAACTTATAAATAGGGATGATTTATTAATTTGCAGCAACATAATAAATACGGATAATTTATTAATAGGAAAGTCCATTCCGACAGTCCCAAGTCCAATTTCGCAGCATGCCCCAGGAAAGTCCGGAAGCTACTGAACCGACAAAATGTTTGCCGCAGACAGGCCGCGGCCGACTGGTACCGGTCCGAAGCAGGCCAAGCCAAGCCAAGCCAAGCCAAGCCCTATATTTAGCTGCTGCAGTGCAGCGGCTCATTGTTTGTTCAGTTGCAAGATGAGGAAGCGCTGCTGCTTCTTGTGCGTTAAGGCAACTTGGGAGCTGCGTGCCCGAAGAAGAACCGGGCGCACGCGTGTGACTCCATAGCTAGGGTGGAGATAGAGCAGGACGACGGCGGCCATAGCCTCCAAGGTGTAAAGCTTACCTGAGTGGGTGTATCCAGGGTGACGACCTAGGCTAGAGAGAGAGAGAGGGAGAGAGGGAGGCAGAGCGAGCCAAGTCAGAGAGAGAAGCAAGACTAGAGAGAGAGAGAGAGAGAGAGAGAGAGAGAGAGAGAGAGAGAGAGAGAGATGAGAGAGAAGCCATAGCCGCCACCTGATTGAGATCCACTGTGTGTGTGGGTGTGCGGGAGAACCGCTGGAGACGAACATTCTTGTATATTTTGATAATAATACTGGAGACGACATGTATCTCGATTTGGCTTCTCATGTGTGATCTCTCATGTGAATGTTCATTGATGT